GAACTATAACGTGTACACTAATGTGATCTAGAGAACAATAACGTGTACACTAATGTGATCTAGAGAACAATAACGTGTACACTAATGTGATCTGGAGAACACTAACGTGTACACTAATGTGATCTAGAGAACAATAACGTGTACACTAATGTGATCTAGAGAACAATAACGTGTACACTAATGTGATCTAGAGCACACTAACGTGTACACTAATGTGATCTAGAGAACAATAACGTGTACACTAATATGATCTAGAGAACAATAACGTGTACACTAATGTGATCTAGAGAACAATAACGTGTACACTAATGTGATCTGGAGAACACTAACGTGTACACTAATGTGATCTTGAGAACAATAACATGTACACTAATGCGATCAACAGAACAATAACGTGTACACTAATGCGATCTAGAGAACCATAACGTGTGCACTAATGTGATCTAGAAAACACTAAGGTGTACAGTATTGCGGTCCTGTGAACACTGTCGTGTAGTGGCTCAGTGCACTGCTTTGTGCATTGTAATTCTTTCTGTAAAAATAATTTTCGTCATTGTCGATACTTTTTATTCACTTAATATGGTGAAGTGAATTATATATATTTTAAGTTGTGTCTTCGTCTTTTTCAGGCTTCTCAATTTAAAGAAACCCACTACTGGAATGAGGGCCATTGTTGCTGCTCTAAGTCTCTGCGAACATGTCAATGTTTATGGATTTTACCCATATATATTTGATCAGAATGGCAAAAACGTATCTTATCATTACTACGGTCCATTCTTCAGATTAGATAGTTTCGACACATCACACAATTACTCCGCCGAGTTCCATACATTGCAAACACTGGACAATAGAAACGTGCTAAGACTATTTACGAATGACTGCAAACATTGAACAATCGCGTCATAATCGGTATCTTATTTTCAAATAATTGTAAATGAGCCGTCACGCCAAATGTAAAGACTGTGGTATAAGATGAAACCATGCAGGGCTGATTCCTTTCGGTGTACCTTTTGTGCTTCTCATGGTATGACTCTGTCAATGTGAAATTGTTTCTGGACTTTTGGGAAATTTGTTATATGCTTTGGGGTAGAAATCTAGGTCTTCGTGCATCTCCGGATGTACAACAAATACTACTTGAGGATTAATCTTATACATGCTTAGCAAATTTCCTTATTTTGTTTGCAAAACGTTTCATATATTCGTGTAAGTATAATAATCAGAATCCAGATTGTATTGCTCACAACAAATATGTACAGTATTTCCAAGAAATTGAGTATAATATAGCTGTTAGAAGAAATAAGCTAAATACTCGTATTAAAAAATAGGGGAGTTTTCCAGGCCGCTTCATAATTTGTGGATTTTATTTTGCATAAATTTATTGTACAAAGCAATTACATGAGATGTGTATTTTTTTTTTTACAAAAATCCAAATAAAATTTTGTGTTTTAAATACAAAAAAAAAGAACAAAAAGAAGACTGTGGTAACCCAGTGATCACTTACAACTTAGATATCTTTTTCGTGCTTTCCTCTCCATTAAAAAATGTGTTTATTGCACATAAAATATATATCACTTTCCACACGCTAGATTGATTGTTTATTATTCCTCTGCTCCCGAGAGCGAGGCTTTTTCGTATTTTTGTTGGCGATCGTCGCTGTGTGCGGAAGTACTACGGGGGATTGCATGGTGGGAGTTTTTAAATATAAAATATCATGAAATCACGATTGATTGTTTGTTATCACTTCATCGGTTTTTAATGATGTGTTAGTGTGCATTGATTGCTTTAAGTCCCTCCCTATCATTTGTACTTGAATGTGGGTTTTCACTCTTTTAGTATGTTAGCTGTGATTACAGGCGCAGCACGTGATCTAATTATCTGTTCTCTCTGACCAGTTTCTGCCCGATTGTCTCAGTACGGGGGCACTACCTGGATAATGCCGTATTATAGAATGAATTCCCAAGATAGCCGCTGCCCCGTCTTGATGGGATTGCGTATTGCTTGCACTTCCCTTCCAGAGCCCTAACTTTACCTCAAACTCATCGATTGTGTTTCACGATAAATATATTTTAGTAATGCGGTTGTATTGTTTTCAGCGAAGGGTCAATTTTACAGACTGCCTCACTTGACTGATGTTAGTTTTTTGTCGGTATTTTTTGAAAAATAGTAAAATAAGTATGTTGAATTTTTGGGGCCTTTTGGGTTCAATTGTCTCACATTTGTACTTGACCTGAGTAGAGTTATTATCACCTCCGCCAAGGAGGTTATATTTACAGATATTGGTACGGATATACATCTGTACATGGCCATGTTCAAAGATACAAGTGTGTACTAGTATTACACTTTGGTTACGGACTCGTAAGTAGCCAGAATTGGGGAAACCACGAAAACTACGCAATACTCACTTAAAGCTAATCTACAAGCACCTGAAAGAGAGGTTGGTTAAAAAGCTCATTATATAAGGCAGGTGTGTGTTTAAACCGGGTATACATGGCCTGTATAGCATCGCTTGCTGTGAAACACACTTGGTTTGAATCGTGCCGTGGTAACTTGATGTTTTTAAGTTCGTGTTTCAAACGGTTACGCCTTTGGTCGGTGTACTAGCCGTTTTGAGTCGGATGTGACTGACTCAACTATAATACCATGGAGGTACAAGGACTATCCGGACACCTGGTTATACGTTGACAGTGGATTACGTCAGACACTTACAAGGCGATATCACCGTGGTTGGTGATCACGAATGAAACGCATAAAAACAATAGCCACAGTGATGTATTTGAGCAAATAAATAAAAAAACAAACATTTGTTTGTATAATATAATATGATTTAATGAAAATATTGACACTGAATGGCAATCAAAGTATCCACCCTACGTCAAATGTATTATTTTCATGGATGTGGTGACGTCATCCAGTGTGTATATTCATGGGATAGGTTTCGTATACATCGATCGGGTAATGTTATCATAACAATACACTGCATTGGATACATAGGTTTATATGACGATATATGAAAAAAAACATGGTCTCACAAAATGTTAAAATCTCGTTAAGATCAGAAAGAACATCTCTGAAGAGCTAATTCGATGACCATTTTTTATTTCGTGTTTCGACCGAGTATAGGACAAAACCACCCCGAAGCGCCCCGAACAAAACGTCGCCGGACAATGTGACCTTATCAGTCACTGTGAGATGTCACAAATCCCCCAGAGTTTTAATTTATGCGTAGCATCTTGCAATACATACATTGAGAAAGATGTGACGTAATTTTTTACCATGGATCATTTTAATATTCATGCGCCGCATGTTTAAATGGTATGTAAATTGGAAAGATGTGACGTAATCTTTTACCATAGATAATTTTAATATTCATGCGCCGCATGTTTAAATGGTATGTAAATTGGAAAGATGTGACGTAATCTTTTACCATAGATAATTTTAATATTCATGCGCCGCATGTTTAAATGGTATGTAAATTGGAAAGATGTGACGTAATCTTTTACCATAGATAATTTTAATATTCATGCGCCGCATGTTTAAATGGTATGTAAATTGGGAAAGATGTGACGTAATCTTTTACCATGGATCGTTTTAATATGCACGCGTCGCATGTGTTTTTGTTTTGGGTATGTACATTGGGAAACAGGTGTGATATATAGAGGGCGCACTTTCGGGAGTAATCGATGGCAGGCTTTTCATATACAAAGATTCGGCATGCTTTATTGCCAAACAAATTCCACAGTGAAGGACGTTTTTCCCTACTTGTCACTTATTGTATTGGTCGTTTTGTCTTGGGATGTTTTGTCCGAACACCACTTCGACTCCCCCACACACTTTGAAAACAAGATGTTTTAACAATGCTTTTGGATGTTGTGTGTTGTTATACTAGGTAATGATTTACCATGCATTAACAACGCTTTTCTTGTATCATATAATTGGGTATTCCTTCAATAGATTTCTATAATACGCATGCGCGCTGGTTGTTTTGGTACGCACACTAACACACTGTACGTGTGCTTGTCAAAACACCAAGATCACTTGTAAATACGACATGTATTATGCGGCGCAATCATCTATACATAGATGGTTTCACGATCTATTATGTACTGTGATATAAAGATAGGTGATTTCGCAGCAGTTTTTTTTTATTAGGAACGACGCGGTTTCATCTGGTAAAGCGAATGATTAGGGGTCTCGGGGGCGAAACGCCCTCGTCCCATTCTCAAACTTAAATACATCCATGATAAAACTTAATTAAATTCAATCACTGCTCCTGAACCCTTTCAACTTGTATATTTGTGTTCATACATGCATTCAGATCTACAAGCGTGAACTTAAGTTTGCCAAGATTGAGTGCCACAATTGTTGTTTTAAGATTTATTCAGTATAATAATACACATGGACACCCCAACAGCGTAGAGACCCTCAGAGCTTCGCCTCGGTTGACAATGAGCTCTTCGGGTCGCTAAAACTGTATGTCCACCAGCTCTGTTGGGGTGAACGTTTGTATATTGTTACACATTGTTACTCATTGTGCAACAGCTAGGCCGTGTTGCTGTTTTACATATATTCAACCCTAAGCGTTAAAATTGATAGTGTTAAGGAATAGAGCAAAATGGGACTCTATGAAATTGCCAGTATCTGTATGAAAATAGCCGGAGTTGATGAAACGTTGGGCAGCTAAGACGAAAGTGAAACTCATCCTCGACTACATTACTTAAACAGAATTGGACAAACACATTATGACCTGGCCAGACTCCCATGCATACTTATTTCAGTGTATAGTGATTGTACATATAAACATGAAATCTCAGTAAAGCGTTATCAACATGTTGACCAATTTCATCTCTGACCACAGAAAGCGTTACAAGAAAGTTTAAGAGCATAGTTACAAAACTGATATAAAGCATTTTCTACATAATTCAGAAGATATCTTTCAGAAAACGCTATTTATCCAGTCCGCGGCCTAAATTTAAAATGGGTGATTTGTATCTCACTTTCTAACTCCGGGCCATCAATCAGTCACTGTCGAACGTAAAACCAACAACGGCACATCTGGAGCAGATGTATTTGTTAGTTAATAACATATTATTAATATTCTTAGCATAATATATTTATACCTGCAAAACATCGCATGAAAAATTAAAATTACACGATGGAAATCAATAAGTCAACGATAGAGGGCGATAAACACCGGGGTTCCGTGTTCATGCAATGTATTCACAACGTCAGAAGCAGCGTGACAACGGCATTTGAGAGCCGATTCACCCCCTAAACGACATGTTCCTTGCACTGCTGTCTGACAGGCGCCGGTGTGACATCACCACATATCGCCGAGCGAGTTTACGTTTTGTTGAGTGACCGTGATGAGAACACGGCTATTCACGAGGCGAACATCCGGGCATTTTCACCGCCTTGCAACCATCACGGTGGTGAGATTCTTCTGAACAGTGTAAAAAGATTACCTATATGTGCAATATATATATATAAATTTGGTTGCTCAGGATTACTTCAAAGTTGAGTTTGTGCTGTTTCCTCGAATTTTCACCGGCTCTTCGAACGGCGTTCCACAACTTGTGAAGAGACCGTATAAATGCATGGTACAGTGGTGTAATGCAAATCGTATTATAGGGACGTGCCGCCCTTTGGGGTCTTAAAAATTTGCTGTTTGGGACTAGAATGGGGGTATACATTTGCTTGCCTTTTGGTCCAATATCAGTTTGCCGGTCTAGAATGGGGTATGTTTTTCCACTTTCCATGTATTTACTCGAGTTTTATTATTTTTATTGGGTTTTATTGGCATAATTTCACGTAGATTGAGTCCGGATGATGAGTAAATTCAACCTATAACTGAATAAATTTAGTGACAATTTGGTCTCTGATGGGATATACAAAATCACTATTTAGTCTATAATGGGGCATGGTTTTTGAGGCGAAAATGGTCTACGATGGGGTCTTGGTTTTTTTTCCCGGCCGCACACCCCTACCAAAGTGAAAGGCCAGTGAAACATTCTGTGACGTAGCTCCGCCTCTTAGGATATGATCAAAAGAACGTGGCCGAGATGATGGTACAAAATAGAACACTGTTTTGGGACGAATTTGTAGTAATGCAAAATTGAATTGCCAGTAAGGCAAAACTTGTGGGTGATATTCGCTCACATTCGATCAGGTTCAAACTGCATGCATTGGATCGTAGAGTTACAATAAAGGAAGCGTAATGTACATTTAAACAATACACTATTTATTCGTACAGTGTTACAACAAAGGAACTACAATGTAACAAGGATGCAACTGAAAAATACACGATAGAATGCCCCTTTTATAGGGTTCAGTAGGATT